ACTCACTTATCAACCGCAGTGATTCACTTTACAATTGTGGCAAGAAAGGTCGTAAAACAGTAAAAAAGCTCACTTCACAAATGTCTCATTTAGCAACTGAAATGTTGTCCTCCCTTTGTGGTCGTAAGCCAAGGATTCCTGCGGGCACGCGAGCCGTCAACCCAGCTGGTCTCTGCCATGCATGTGTGGGAGGACGGGGTGCATTCATGGTGGGGTCCACATACATTGCATTTGGGGGGTTTGCGCGCGCATACTTTGGGCACTGACGTAGAACATAACTAAACACTTTACATGGCATGTTTTGGGTGTCTTATTTCCCACGTCTTGCCCACATCTTTAACTGTAACGTCCTGTGATGGCCCAGGGCATGACACAACAATAACAAAATCACAAAAGTAGGATAAATTCCCTTTAATGCCTCCAACTTGGCCCCAATGTCCAATTATCCTCGGCTGGAAATCGATCTCTTCCAAAAAAACAGTCTACGAAGGGCAGAAATGCAGTCCGAACCCAAAGTAAAGATAATTAGAAATAAAAACAACCAACACAAACCACACTGAAGGAATTAACACGACAGGCCAGGATGATAAATTGCAGACTTTCAAAGGATAATGCAGCAACCACAGTTGGGAGGATGTCAAAACCCAGTTAAGCAAAGATAATGCACGCTGTGCTTCCAGCAAGGAGCTGTGTGCAAACGCCTCACTTACATCCTGTTCTCCCAGCTGCAACTAATGAAAGGGATCAGGGCCCTTTTCTCTCCCATAAGCCATGTTGCTCCCTTCTCCATTCCTCCCTGCGTGCCCTAGGATGAAGAGGGTTTTGTCCCTGGGTCTTCCTCTGAATGCCCAGCCGGATTGTGCCCTTCCCCCGTTTCTTCCACAGCCACTGGAGCCACACTCCCACTCCCTGTCAGCAGCTCGATCTCCCCCTCAGAATCAGACTCCAACAAGGGCACTGACACTTCCCGCTCCCGAACAAACTTCTGAAGTTTAAACCAAAACAGGACAACACACCCCAAATGGCTCCAGGATGTTAGACAAGAATGCCAAACGTCAGCCTTTCCTAAACGTCCTTCGAGGAGCCTAATAAAACACGAATGTTTCTCAGATCGCAGCTTGCGTCACTTGCATTGTGTCCTGTGACACGCAAGATGTTCGTGGTTTTGTGTATATGTGTGGGTGTGCTTCACTCTTGTGGCCTCTTCATCCTAACTTGGCTAATCCTTTCTTGGTTGCAGGGATTTTATGGACCCAACCATGGAAAACACCAGACATATTTTAAATTACCTGATGCCCATCATAGACCAAGTGAACCCAGATCTCCACGATTTCATGCAGAGGTAAAAGTAATTTTTAAGGTGTTTTTTTTTAAAAAAAATAAAAATTCAGGTAGGGCTTTTGTGCCAAGGGGGTCAAGCTTTTCTCCAAAGCCCCCAAAGGCAGGACAAGAAGCAACAAATGGAAACAAACCAAGGAGAGAAGCCATCAGGAGAAATTTCCGAACAGTGAGAACGGTTAACCAGTGGAACTGCTTGCCATCAGATGTTGTGGGTGCTCCATCACTGGAGGTTTTCAAGAAGAGGCTGGAAAACCGTTTGTCTGAAATGGCCTAAGGTCTCCTGCTTGAACAGGGGGTTGGACTAGAAAACCTCAAGGGTTTCTTCCACGTGTATTCTGATTGATTGATTTATAACAACACAAGAGCACACAAGAGATACAAACTCAAGGTTAACCACACCAAACTTGATTGCAGGAAATACGACTTCAGCAACAGAGGGGTCAATGTCTGGAATACTCTACCTGACTCTGTGGTTTCTTCCCCAAATCCCAAAAACTTTAACCTTAGACTGTCTACTATTGACCTCACCCCTTTCCTAAGAGGTCTGTAGGGGGCCTGCATAAGCGCACCAATTGTGCCTACCGTCCCTGTCCTATTGTTTCTTTTATTTTTCTTATATCTACCGATTTCATTTATTCATAACTATGGATATACTTATCCCTATTATCTTGTAAGCAATCGACAAATATATATAAATAAATAAATAATAATAAATAAAATAAATAAATAAAATAAATAAATAAAATAAATAAATATGAAGAACGGTTGCAGGAACTGGTTGGGCCTAGTTTATTGAAAAGAAGGACCAGGGGAGGCAGGATAGCAGTCTTCCAATATCTCAGGGGCTGCCCCAAAGAAGAGGGAGTCAAGCTATTCTCCAAAGTAACATGAAGGCCGGGGAAGAAACAACGGATGGAAACTCAATCAAGGAGTAGAAGCAACCTGGAATGAAGGAGAAACTTCCTCGCAGTGAGGACAATTACCCAGTGGAACTGCTTGCCACCAGAAGTTGTGGGTGCCTGGAGGTTTTGAAGGAGAGACTGGACAGCCACTGAAGTTTGAAATGGTCCAGGGCCGTGATGGGGAACCTAGGGCACGTGTGCCACAGGCGGCATGCAGAGCCCTTTTCTGTGGGCACACAAACTCGCCCCAGCTCAGCTCCACCACGCATGCATGCGC